TGAATAATTGACGATAATTGTATAATTTTTAGTGAAGTGTACCAGTTTCTTTATAAAATGACGACAAATCAGCCGGCATCACAACTTTCACGCAATTCCGCGATTGTGTTACACAAACTATTATCAGAAATAATAGACGAAATATGGCCAAACACACAACCGGACCTTCTGAGATATTTAAGTAAAATACATATCTACAGTAGATCGCCAATTAGAAGAACATATACACGAAAAAAGTTAGTTTCTCTTATTTATCCTTAGATATCGCCTTTATGATTAGACTTCAAACTGAATTTTATAATTTTTTTCATACACTTAATTATTTAATTTATTTATACACAATAGTATAAACTTCGTTTTGTTTATCTGTGTTTAATAATTGTATTATCATCGAATGTGTTTTCATTATATTATAAAATGAATACTTTTGTGCATTTTTAAAAATAAAATTTTATTGTTTTTGTAATTATTTTATAATACACAGTGTGTACAACATAACGCAATTTAAAAATCTTTAAATGATTTCGCATTTACAACGTTATGACATTTTTAAACGTCCTGGATATCTGAGGATTAATTTTTACAGTAATATGGCTGTCTAAACAATCGTATCATTTATTTCAGGAATGGTGCCGGATAAAAGAAAATAGCAGAAAACTGTTCGTCTTAGATCTAATAAAATGATATAAGTCGTATTTATAATCTTGAATTCTCCAAATTTTTAAATTTTTTTTTGGAGTTTGAATATTCGAAATCCTCGAAAGAATTGTAAGACTTGGAAATAGATTACGATTTTATATTGTACAGTTATTGTTTTATATTGTACAGTTAATATGTTAATAATAATTATGTGATTTATTATTTATTGTATTATGAATTACTGAAATTATCCTATTTTACAAGGAAAATAGGTTACTTCATAAGAAACACATCTCATATAAAAAAAATGCATATATCTGTCCTTTAATTCTCTTTAATAATCTTTAAAATTAACATATACCGATATTCCTCATTTCCTAATTCGCGCTAATGATATCAGGGTTAATTATTTAATATTTCCCAGGCGTCTTCTTCCGCTTTCGAGTTCCAATTCTGTTGTGCCTTATTGTCCGTTTCGAAATTGATCAATTCTTCTCTTCTCTCCGCCTTTGGTTGTCTCTTTGAAATTACCGTCTTGCTCGTTTGTTTCGTGTCGTTGCCCCAATCCCAATCGCAATTCGAGTTGGAAGAATCTCCAGCAGAAATGTTGCTCCTGAAATAAGCAAGGAATAAATTTTGAATAATCGATTGTATTTTACTTACACAGACTTAATAACTAATAATTTAATAAAAGTTTATTTTTATATGTAGAAGCTTAGAAGGTACGTACTTTGAACTGGAGCTTCTTACAAGAGACGATTTTTCGTTGGAGCGATTCGATATTAAATCGTTATTCTGATACGTATCAGAGGAATACTGATATCGATCTGTGGAATCATATTGCCTTTGTTGTTCCGCTGAATTGGTCCCAGCAATATCACCCCATCCTCCCCGTCTCGTTATATCCCCAACCTATGCATTATTTTTTTCTAAATTTCTTGACTCTTAATAAGATATCTGCCTATATATATGACATAATAATAATTTCTAATAATTTAATTTTAATGACAATTAAAATTAAAAAATGAATAATAGAACAGAAAAAGCAAACGAAAGAATTTATACCTTTGTAACCAAATGATTGACCTGAGCTCCTACGTCCTCTAATAATGTGCCATCACGAACCTAATAATTTAATACAAACAGAGAAAAACGAAATAAAAATATCTTCAAAATAAGAATTATAAATTCGATAGAGGAATTAATTAAAATAAATGTACAAAAAATAATAACTCGAGATAATTAATATCTCGCGTTTATGTTCTCAAATAAATTTATGCATAGCAATTCTAATCGAAAATAAATGAATGGATAAAAAATGAACAATAATGCTTTAATCCTGTTCTTTAATCTCGTTTAAAAAAAATAATTAATTTTTAATCCCTAATTAATTTACATTCGAGAGCTTTTCTCGAAATTTGTACACTTGCCTTTTGCGTCGCTAGTCCTCCGATCTTGATTGCATTCTCGGTAGCTTTGCTTGCTATTTTTGATGCCGAAGAAGAGAATATTGACCATCCCTACAATAGTAAGAAATAATAGATTAATTCGTTACTTTTAAATTACAGACATTTAATAAACGTTAAAAATCGTACACTCGCTAATGATGATACTGCGGTGTCGAACAATTCCTGGGACGAACTCTTGGGTGGTGGATCCATCTGATAGCCGAAGCCACCGTATTTACCGCCTTGATTAGGTGGGATATTACTAAAACGATAACGTTTAAATAAACGTTATAACTACTTCTTAATGCACACTTCTATTCTTACAATGCTATCACATTTTTCGGTTCTCATAAACTCTCCAAATATTTAAACTTATTCACTCTTTTGTTTTTCTAATCTTTATATTTTCCATTTATTTATACTCTTAATTGTTCCACATTCTATAATATATCAAATATTATATCATAATGATATAAAAAATAGAGAGAGAGAATTGATATAGAATAGATAAGAATAGATAAGAATTTGATATAGAAAATAAAAGCCAGACTATAGACTTACTCTGGGCGATTGGCATTTTCATTCTGTTTCTTCGCAAAGAAGGATTCCGTCTGCATCTTCAGATTATTCGAGTCCATATTTTGATAAGAAGAGGATAGGTCGTTCTGATACGAATATTCTTGCTTATTTTTAATGAATGTCGAAGGCTGAAACTCCTTTGCTGTTGAATTGCTTGGACTCCAAGACTCTCCTCTCGCCAATGTAGCGATCTAAGCAAAGAAAAAATATTTTTAAGCGAATCAACTTTAAAGGAATTCAATGATAAAAGTGTACGATAAATCTCTTTACCTTATCCCTATACAATGCCGCCGCTTTTGTATTATAACGTTGTGAGATGGACATAGATTCATCCCAGTCGGATTGATTCTCAAAGAATTCTCGGGCGTTTCTATTGCCACCGACCTTCATCTTTTCCAGTTCTACATCCTTCCACTTGTCCATAGAGACAGAGCGGACAAACGATAAGTGTACACCTAAACCACGATGCTTGCCTGAGCATTCTAGACATATCCAAATACCATATGTCACGGATACCCATTGCGGATTGTGGCTGCCACATTCGAAACATTTCTACAAAACGCACAAGAGTATGTATAAATCTGATAATCAAAAGAAGTCAATTGCAAGAAGTTACTAATTAACTTCATTTTTTTAATAGATACATGTAATGAATTTTCTTAATAGGTAGTACATATTAATGAAAAATAAATGCACTACATATCAACTCAAAACATTGAAATGTTTATTTTCTGGAAAACTTTGTTCTTTGAATTATGATGTTATAACAAATGAATGATATCTCAATTCTACGCAAAGTGCTAAGATAAATAATAAAAATTACATTTACTAAAAATGTAGAAGTTGAAATTTAAATTTAAAAATTTGCTTTAATTAAACATTTTACTGAAATGTACTTTAAAAATATTAAATACCTAATCTTTGTAAAAAAAAAGAGAGAAAGTACTTGATATATTTCTCATCTTGCTGTCAATCAAACTTACATTGTTCTCGTCCTTCGGCTTTAATTCACTCAGCACTCGTCGCGTTCTTGGACTGGCCATGGTCACATCAGTTAGTCGTCAAAGGCTGAGGGTTATAGTTATGTTAACAGTCAATCTAAGTTATGTAGGTCTATTTTCTAAAACTGGATCAGTACATTTATGGAATTTAAAATAAAACGAATATGTTTGATATTTGGCAAAAGTAAAACAGAAAAATCCAGTGGTCTGGTACAGGAATAAAAAACAGATGCATTGAAATAGAATATTTGAAGTCTAACAATTTCCTTGTGTCTACAGTTCAACATGTGGGATAAACAAAAATAATTGAGGCATTAGGCGAGATAGAAAATTAAGAAATGCTCTGAAAATCAAGTTCAAGTTTAACATGACATATCAATGAAATGTTCAGAAATATTTCACTGCAAGATTTGAAGAATTTCAGAAATTTTTCATAAAATATCTCTAAAAATATAAATATGATCAGAAAGTGCTTTTGAAATATTTTTTTTCTTACAATGTTTGTATAACACTTTTAAAATATTTTATAAATGTATACGAAATATTTCTAAGTATTTCAAAAAAAAATTCACATAAATATTTCATGCCGTGTGACATATATAGTGTACCTCGCGGCTATGATTGTTAGCTGTGTGCGAGAAAGCAAACGGAGCAATTGAAACGTGGGAAATTCATCACGACATTCCAACAGCCCTGAATTTTGGAATGCCGCGGTATCGTTACGCGAGTCATGCGCGATAATTGGCAAAGATGTTCACCTCGAGACTACGAAGTCATTGTATCGAATGGTTCTTTCTTCCGAGACGGGAGGATCGGATCCTACGTGGACATATTGCAAAAGTCGGACATGATTTTTGTACCCTGGGAACCAAACTGCTGGAACTTGGCGACACTGGCGTTGTCGTGATTGACGTCACGCGGAGAAGTTAGGTTAGGTTAAGTCATCATCCGCGGGTGATTGCCCGGGAAATTTATAGCTATATGTAAGTACAATATCCTTCGTTTTTTTATCTGATGAAAATTTAACTATTAATTCTATTCACGCGAAGTCTATTCTAATAGACGAAATAGTACGAATATCGCTAATCTTAGATTAAGTTAATCGTAGGTTTGATTGAAAATGTAGGCGATATAATAGTGAGGCCTAGTTTTACTTATGGTTAACTCTTAACTAACCGAGGTGCAACTTATTTCTCATCTTTTTCCAATCTTAGAATTCGAAAGAGATAAGGATTAACAAGAAGAAGCTTCGCTCTGCTTTTCATCGATTTTGATCAAACTTGCTTGCAGCAATATTAGAGGAGTCTAAATGAAACACCTACAAAGTTCCCGCTTAGAAACCGAGTAATGAGCATTTAAAAATATACTAAAAAATCTGAAAACAGTCTAATATTTCGGAAAATATATATTTTTGAGAAAAATGTCTTAAACAAAAATGATAGGATTTAATAAGATATATTTACTGACTGTATTGGTTTAACCTTGGGAGACATTGTCAACTTTGACTTGGCGATGTCACCCAAGATTAAACCAATAAAACCAATAAATATATCTTATATTAAATCTTATCATTTTTGTCTAAGATTTTTCTCAAGAATGCATCTTTCTGAGATATTAGACCATTTAGAGAATGGATTAAAATGAATTGAAATTTTTTTCTATCCGAATGCATATTTTAAATAGCGAAAATACTTTTTTTGGATTCAATTAGATTCGATTGGATTGAAAAATTGCATTTCCTATTCAAAATTTTGAATTGAAGTATTCACAATGCACAGAAAAAGCTAATATTATTTTTAGATTGAAAGGTATGCTCCATGCAATTCCTATAAATGAATAAAAATGCATTCAGGATTGAAAAGCATTCATTTTAACATTCATGAATCAATATTTCTGAAAATCTGAATCTATTTCAATTTAAGTTCAATCCATTCTCGTTTGCTGGATATTTAAATATTCGAATCATTACTTGGCTTCTAAGGCCCATTAGTAGGAATGGCTTTATTGGTGTTCATTTGATAGGCTCTTCTAAGGCGTATCATTTGATAGGTGTAAGTCTGGAATCAGACTATGTATTGAAGAATGAGATTGAAGATTG